GAGAAATCCGCGCGGACCTCTGAGTTTTTACGTTTATGTCACTTCTGGTTCCCCTAAATTATGTAAGCTAAAATCGCCCCCAGATGTTTTTTGTCGCTTTCCCCATGTAAGCGGGACACGCCCGATCAGAAGACCTGCCTGGCTCCGAAGCTCGCGCGGCCACCGAGAAGACCTGCCTGGCTCCAGAGCTCGCGCGGCCACCGAGGAGCCGCCCCCCCCCCCCCCCCCAAAGGAGGCCCCCGCGCGGGCATGGCCGCCGCGGGAGCGGCGCGCCCCCCACCCGCGGCCCCCCCGAGCAGAGGGCAGGAACGCCACCCCGAGGATGCTGGGCTCAAGTCGGGCCTGTGCCCCCTACAGGGGGATGTTGGACGACAAAGGAGAAATACCCCCCCAAATGCCCCAAATGGTCAGAAAACGTACAAGGGAAAATCGTCCCCAGACTGCTTTGTTTTGACTATTTTTGAATCGCCCCCCTGTAGGGGGACACGCCCGACTTAATGCTAGGTCGGGCATGTCCCCCTGCAGGCGGATTTTGAAAGAAAACCCAACAATTGCCCAAACATATCGAAGTAAACATCGTCCCCTGCCTATTTTTCCCGGAAAGGGCACGGGCCCAGGGTTCTCTTTTAGTAGGTTAACCCCCCGGCCCCCCTGCGACTTGGGCCGGCGAAATTATTTTGCGAGCGGGCACGCACGGAGTAGGGCCGGCGAAATTATTTTTGAGGATGTCTCGAGCGAAACGCTTGTTTTTCAGAATTTGTTGAGGATGTCTCGAGCGAAACGCTGGTTTTGCAGAGTTGGGGATGTCTCGAGCGAAACGCTTGGTTTCAGAATTTGTTGAGGATGTCTCGAGCGAAACGCTGGTTTTGCAGAGCCGACCGCGACACGGAAAAGCGCTCCTCGCGCAGGAATTCCGAGGATGTCTCGCGCGTGCCGCGTCCCGCACGCAGGAATTTTGATTTCTTTGGGTTTTGACAGGATTTCTCAAGCGAAACGCTTGTTTTTCATAATTTGTTGAGGATGTCTCGAGCGAAACGCTGGTTTTGCAAAATTGGGGGATGTCTCGAGCGGGGGCCTCGTGGGGGGCCAGAATTCAGAGGATATCTCAGGCGCAATGTTTGTTTTCGTGTCCCGCTCGCAGGAATTCCGAGGATGTCTCGCGCGTGCCGCGTCCCGCGCGTAGGAATTCGGATGATTGTGATAGGATGTCTCGAGCGAAACGCTTGTCCCCAGCACGTTCAGTAGCGCGTCCCCTTGGCACGTCCCGCGTTGCGACCCCATGGCACGTCCCCTGGCACGTCGCCTGGCGCATCCCTTGGGACGTTTCGCGGCGCGTCCTCCTGGCATGTTCCCCTTGTCAATTAGCTCTGGGGCAGCTACTATGTGTTCAGGCAGCTCGAGCTTAAGATCCAGATCAGTTCGGTCAGGACTCGGATGCAAAGGAGGACTCGATCCACGACGCTATAGAGCACAACCGCGGCATGGCACATCGCAATTCAGCACGGTGCAGCACAGCACAGCCCTCGGCAGGGTACATCAAGATCGATACACTCAGCATTGCAACTTGGCACGTTCCTTGGCACGTTCCGTGGGGCGTCCCTTGGCGAGTCCCCCTGGCACGTCGCGTGGCGCGTCCCCTGGCACATTCCGTGGCACATCCATTGGCACGTTCCGTAGCGCGTCCCTTTGGCACGTCCTACGGTGCGACCCCATGGCGCGTCCCCTGGCACGTCGCCTGGCGCATCCCTTGGGACGTTTCGCGGCGCGTCCTCCTGGCATGTTCCCCTGTCCATTAGCTCTGGGGCAGCTACTATGTGTTCAGGCAGCTCGAGCTTAAGATCCAGATCAGTTCGGTCAGGATTCGGATGCAAAGGAGGACTCGATCCACGACGCTATAGAGCGCAGTCGCGCCATGGCACATCGCAACTCAGCACGGCGCAGCACAGCACAGCCCTTGGCAGGGTACATCAAGATCGATACACTCAGCATTGCATTTGCCCGTCACCCAATCAGGTGTCTTTGAAAACGCTGCCATGTGTTACAGTTCTATATTCCTTTCCGGGCTCGTGGGTCGATCATGTTTCAGATCGTCGTCCCTTTTTTTCCCGGAAAGGGCTCGAGCCCAGGGTTCTCTTTTAGTTGGTTCCCCCCGGTTTCGACGGCTGTAGGGCCGGCGAAATTATTCTGCGATAAATTACGTGCGGGAGTAGGGCCGGCGAATTAAATGTCGAGGATGTCTCGAGCGAAACGCTTGATTTTCAGAATTTGTTGAGGATGTCTCGAGCGAGACGCTTGTTTTGTATTATAGATTGTCCTCTCCTGGGGACCTGAATTCTGAGGATCTCTCAAGTGGATTGCTTGTTTTCACGTGCCCAGGTCTTGAGGATGTCTTGAGCGAGACGCTTGGTTTCACGCCTCCAGGTGGCCCAGACAGATATCTAGCATGAGGATTTGTTGAGGATGTCTCGAACCAGAGGCTTGTTTTCACGTGTCCAGGTCGCCCAAGCGGATGTCTAGCATGAGCAGTTGTTGAGGATGTCTCGAGCGAGACGCTTGTTTGCACGTGTCCAGGTTGCCCAGGCGGATGTCTAGCATGAGGATGTGCTGACAACGTCTTGAGCGAAGCGCGTGTTTTCACGTGTCCAGGTCGCCCAGGCACAGCACAGCCCTCGGCACGGTACATCAATGTCGATACCCTTAGCATTGCAGCCTGGCATGTTGCCTGGCACGTTCCGCGGAGCGTCCCGTGGCGAGTCCCCCTGGCACGTCGCGCGGTGCACGTCCATTGGCACGTTCCGTAGCGCGTCCCCTTGGCACGTCCCGCGGTGCGTGCCCATGGCACGTCCCCTGGCACGTCGCCTGGCGCGTCCCTTGGGACGTTCCGCGGCGCGTCCTCTTGGCATGTTCCCTCTGTCGATTAGTTCTGGGGCAGCTACCATCTGCTCAGGCAGCTCGAGCTTACGATCCAGATCAGTTTGGTGAGGACTCGGATGCCAGGGAGGACTCGATCCACAACGCTAGATAGAGCACAATCGCGGCATGGCACATCGCAGTTCAGCACGGCCCAGCACAGCACAGCCGTCGGCACAGTACATCAAGATCGATACACTCAACTATGCACCTTGGCACGTTCCTTGGCGCGTTCCGTGGCGAGTCCACCGGGCACGTCGCGCGGCGCGTCCCCTGGCACGTCGCGCGGCACGTCCATTGGCACCTTCCGTAGCGCGTCCCCTTGGCACGTCCCGCGGTGCGTCCCCATGGCACGTCCCCTGGCACGTCGCCTGGAGCGTCCCTCGGGACGTTTCGCGGCGCGTCCTCCTGTCATGTTCTCTCTGTCGATTAGTTCTGGGGCAGCTACCATCTGCTCAGGCAGCTCGAGCTTACGCTCCAGATCAGTTCGGTGAGGACTCGGATGCCAGGGGGGACTTGATTCACAACGCTATATATAGAGCACAATCGCGGCATGGCACATCGCAGTTCAGCACGGCGTCGCATAGCACAGCCCTCGGCACAGTACATCATCATCGATACATTCAGCATTGCATGTGCCCGTCGCCCCATCAGGTGTCTTTAAACTGCTGCAATGCCTTACACTTCTATATTCCTTTCCGGGTTCGTGGGTCGATCATGTTCTGCTATTCTTGAAGCCGGCATTCCTCCCGTGGAGGGACACGCCCGGCTTCATGAGGATGAGCACCCCGACAAAAAGGCGAAGCCGTGCAGCAGACGCACCCGAGGGGAGGACTCGAGGAGGGCAGGACTGCCTCGCAGACACGCCCGGGCCTGTGCCTGGTGAGCGCCGGCTGTGCGGCTCCTTCCCTGCCTCGACCGAGGGCGGCTCCCCCGAGCAGCCCCCTCCCGAGGGGGCCGCCCCCGAGGAGCGCCAGTGAAGACCCCGAGCAGCCCGCGAGGCCCCGCCTCGCGGGCCCAGGCCGCGGCCTGCCCCCCCCGCGGCCCGGCCGGAAGCAGAACCGGGGCTGCCAGAGCGCGCCCGCGCCCGCCGCCGTCGTCGTCGCCGTCGCCGTTGGCGCCGTCGCCACCGCGGCCCTCGTCGTCGTCGACGTCGCCGCCGCCGCCCTTGGCGGCGTCGTCGTCGTCGTCGTCGCCGCGGCCGCCGCCATCGCCGGCGTCGGCGTCGCCGTGGACGTGGGTCGGTCGGGGCCTTCGCCGACGTGGGTCTTCGTCGTGGGCCTCGTCCTCGTCCTCGGTCCTGTCCCGCTGTCCTGCTCGTCCTCCTGCCGTCGCTGTGGGTCGCCGTGGGTCCGTCGCAGTTCGTCGTCGTAGTCCTCGTCCTCATTTTCGCCGCCTCCTCCTCCTCCTCCTCCTCCCTCCTCCTCCTCCTCCTCCTCCTCCTCCTCATCCTCCTCCTCTTCCTCTCTTGGGGGGGCGACGATAGGGGGGGACGCATCGACCTGGAATTGGCGATACATCGCCGATAGATCAGCGACAGGCCCCCGATAGTAAGTCCGCACGTTCCTGGGCGGGGTGGCCCTACTGGGCCCCCCTCGGCAACAGAATGAGCGATTGGGGATCGATGCGTCCCCCCCCGTTCATCTCCCTCCCTGTCGTTGCCCCTGATCTCTCTATGGCACGCCCGGCGAAGGGGAACAGAGCCCACTCGACGGCCGAGCGGAGTTCATCCCATCTGGTCCCCGCCACCCGCCGGCCACCGACCCGCGGCGTCCCGAGGAGGATCCACGCGCGAAGCCTTCCTCGGCAGCGGCCGAGGGGCGCCAGAGCCAACCAGATTGGCGCGAGGCGCCAGGGCGAAGACGTGCTCGAGAGCTCCCGGGGCGGGGTTCCCCGACCTGGCACCTGTTTCACTCCTGCTACATCGTCGCAGCCAAGCGCGGAACTTCAGGATGGCACCTCCTGGTGCACTTCAGCTTGCCGCCGCGGACGCGGGATTGAGCGACACAAACTGAAACCACGGCAAACGATACTCACGTCATCGGGGCTTCTCTGAGACGAGCAGAGAGTCACGCGGGAAGATGAGCGGCCTTCTCCGCGTCCGGCATTATGCTGTCGCGCACCGCCACGGGCGCCGCGATGCGCACAAACCAGAAAGCCACGAAGCACACAGCCATGTGGAACCTGGGGGCGACACATTACAGGCCCACCTCATGTCCACCCCTCCGCAGTTACAACGAGCATGATGCAATGATGCAACTGGCTCAAGAGACGTTCCAGAAATTCCGCAATATCTAGCGGTCTTCGTGTATGCAGCCCGCGTGGAGCAATTATGTAACCTTGTGAATCTTAGAAATCTTGGAATGACTCATTGACCGCTTGCTCTTCTGAATCGTGATTCCTGTCCTGGCGCCGCTCCTGCCTAAATCTGCTCATCCTGCACAAGCCCTGGCCCTCGCCGTCGCAGACGGACTAATTACCTACTAGACCACCCCAACCTAACCCGAGGACCCGCATTTCGGGTGGGGTGGGAGGTACGGGCTCCGCATGTGTTTTTTTTCAATGTTCCCCGACGCCCCCCCCCCCACTGGGACTGGAGGGCAAATTGGGGCCAGACAGCGCCATCTCCGCCGCCTACGCCTGACAGCCAGCCCCCACCCTACGCTCACGGCTGGGTCTCTGCGGCTGCAGCCGTTCACCCCCCCTCCGCCAGAGGTGCCGATCCGCCCTCCTCCCGACCAGCCATAACTGGGGGAGCTGTGGTCCTTACCCCCCTGGGGGAACGCATCGCATCGACGATCCTCCGAGAGGGGTGTCGAAATCGATGGGCCCCCCAGGAGGGTAAGGACCACAGCTCCCCCAGTTGCGGCTGGCCTGTCTTCCTGCTCCCCCACCGGCCCGCCGGTCCGGCCCCTCGCCCCCCCGCCTGCTCCTCCCCGCCCCCCCTGCCTCGCCCAAACTCCCGCTGGCCCGGCCCGCCCAGGCCCCCCGGCGCCGCAGCAGGAGGCACTGCACAACAATCGGGGCGGGCACACGACAGGCGCCCAGGCCTCTCGAGGCGCTATAAGCCAAGGAACCGGCCGCCCGGCCATCCCGGCACCTCCCGCACGCGTGCCAGGGTGAGGCGCCCGGGCCGGCAGGCCGAGGTCGAGAGCGGCTGCCGCCCAGCCTCTGCTCCTCGACGCCCTGCCCGGCGCCGCTGGACGAGGGCAGGCCTCCCGGAACCAACGAGCTCACGCTTCTACGATCTCCCATGGGCCTTCCGCCCGCCTTCCGCCCGGCCTTCCGCCGGCAGAGCCGCCCGGCCTTCCGCCCAGCCTTGCCGCCCGGCCTTCCGTTGAGCAGGGACCGACCGTCCCGGCATTCCTATACAGTCCTACCTCGAGCTGCTCTGAGAACCCAGACATATTCTAAGCACAAAGCAATGTTCTTAGAACATGAACCCGATGTGTTAAACCAAGACAGACTCCGCCAGAAATGTTCTAGGAACACTTCGTGGAAACCACAAGAGGTCCTTAGAACATTGTTTGGTAGGCCTATAGGCGAGCCAGGACGCTCTGGCCCTACGCCTGGCCTTCCGCCCGGCGGAGCCGCCCGGCCTTCCGCCAGCGGAGGGAGCCGCCCCGCCTTCCGCCCGCCGGAACCGCCCGCCTTCCGCCATAGCCTCCGCCGGCGCGCCCCCCGCCGCTGCACTGCACCGCAGAAGCTCCCGCTGCCCTTCCGCCGCCCTCCGCAGAGGACCGGACGACGCCCTCCCGATGCCTCGAGGGCGAGGCCCTCGGAGAAGCGCCCCAGGTGGCCCTCCCGGAGAACCGACGTTGCCACAAACATGGCAACATCGCAAGAGATCACGACCAGAGCCCCGGACCCCATCTTTCTACGCCAATTTTCCAGCCGCATCGATCCGTGATGGTCCTGGGGGCCGAAGCCGAAGGAACATGCCCGCTGTGAAGAATCTGCAACGCCCGGATGCGAGGGCTGGGCGACGTACCCCCAATGAAACGTCGCAGGGGTCCACGGCCGTACCCACGGCATGGGTACGTCTGTTCTGGGGTACGCGTGCCCCCCCATCCTGAGGGCACTCATGGAGGTGCAGAGGAGGTTTTGTCCTGCGAGCCCAGACACGGCTGGAACCGTTGCCTCCCTCCGAGAAAGACTTCGAGGCAGGCTGAGCTCGGCACGTGGTCAGGTAAATCGGGTGCGGGAAGCCACCCTGGGCGCGCTTCTTTACTCGCAGGCTGGCTCCGATGCCGCAGTCAATTGCTGATCCGAGTCCTGGCGACGCCCGTCAATCACCAGGACCAGCCATGGGCTGTACGAAAATAAACGAGCAAGGCTTCGAGCCACTCCGAACGTCATCGGGAGATGGCGGCGTCCCGTGGGATCCCTCGAATCATACAGCATCTTGGCAGAATCACCGATTTGCTCGCAAAGCGATGGAATGATTCCGGCGGAGGTGGTATAGCGCGTCTGCTCTTCCCTGTTCCCCCCCCCCGGTTCCCCTGCCCTCTAAAGAACTATGCAACATACATTGTGCCTCCAAATCTGGCGCACGTGCAGGCGCCCCGCGACCACGCTGCACTGCTTTTTGTCAGAGACGGCGGGGGGGGGGCAGCATATTGCTTGCTGCGCGTAGGCCAACCATCCCTACGAAAAAAACAAAACAATTCACTCTGGCTCTAAATCTGGAGCATGCGCAGGGCCCTCTGTTCTCTGAGCTCTCATCTGTTTCACGACTCCTCACAATGTCACGATTTGTGTCCATCGGTGCGGGTGCGTTGCGCTCCCTGGAGAAGCCGCCCTTCTCACGGAATGCTCGGCACTTCGCTTCAGGAGGACTCACGATCCTGATCTCCTTGGGGCCAGGGCCCCAAGCACCTGAGGTCCCTATTGGTTCACCGTGTCTGGCGCACCTGGCGCGGCTGGAGCACGTGGCGCAGTTTGCGCACGCGGAGCATGTGCGGCACCTGGCACGCTTGGGCCTCCAGGGTGCCTGCTGCACCTGGAACCTGTGGCGCGCACGGCATGTGTGGCGTTCCTAAGCGATCTGCTGTCGGGTGTTACTTATGTGTTGGGAGGGGGGGTTGTATGAGCTAGACGGCCTGCTATCTTGAAGGGTAGCTCGACCTCTACCCCTACCCCCTCCCCTGGGTCTGCAAGGGGGACCAGAACATCCCAAACTGCCAGGGATGGATCCATAGAGGGCCCCCCCTATGCCGCACGACGGCCTTCAGGGTGGCCCTAGATACTTATCTCCCAAGGTGGCTCAATCTAGCTGCGAACCTACCTCCGACATTCTCCATGACAGCCCCAAGTGGTTTTCAAGTGCCCTCCGGGCCTTACAATGTACTCCCCAGGAGGCCAGACTCTCTCAGATGCCCGAGGAAAGCCAGCGCGCTTTTCTTTTCGCCTTTTCGCTTCCGATGGGCCTCCGAGGCCACAAAATGGCTGCAAGACGGCCCAGGAGAGGCCCAAGAGGCGCCCAAGAAGGACGCACGAGCGCCCACGAGGCTCCCAGGAACGATCTGACGGGGCCACAGGAGGCAAACGATCGGCCTCCGAGGGGGAGGGACCAGAATTGACGCCGCTCTCGTTTTTCAGCCGTGGCCCCCAAGACGTCCCCCAGACTCCCCTCGAGGCCCCCCCCGAGGGCCTCGAGAGCCCCGAGAGGGCCCCCAGAGGGCCCCCAGAGGGCCCCGAGAGAGCCCGAGGAGCTTCCAAACGGCCACGAGATGGCTCCAAGAGGCCCCCCGAGGTCTCCGATGTCACTCCTATTGGCCTCGTTGCTTTACTATGTGCTCGCCTGCGCCCCTCCTCCAGGCAATCCCCCTGAATAGGAGGAGGAGGAGGAGGAGGAGGAGGAGGAGGAGGAGGAGGAGGAGGAGGAGCAGGAGCAGGAGCAGGAGGAGGAGGAGGAGGAGGAGGAGGGAGAGGAGGAGGCGGAGGAGGGCGTTAGGGCGTTAGGGCCGTAGACTGACGTCTCTCGCCTCCAGCGACCCGATTATTTAGTAATCAGGATCTTCAGGCTCATCACTCCTGTGCGCCAGGAGCCGAGCCTCTTCAGGAGGCGGAGGAGGAGGAAGAGGAGGAGGAGGAGGAGGAAGAGGAGGAGGATGGGCTGGCGGGGAAACGCGAAGCGTCAAGACTTGAAACCGTGCGGGCCACCAGGGCTGACAGCAGTACACCACCACCACGCCTGGCTATAGGTCCGTCCTGGGCGCTGGAATGCTGCATGGTGAGGGCAGTGGACAAGAAACCATTGGATAAAGAATCCAGGGACTGAATTCCCGTGGAACACCAACTCAGGCTTGGCCATGGGTATCACCGCCGCCCTCATCAGATAATGAATCCTCCAGGGTCTGAAGCCTCCGGGGCAAATACCTTAGCCAACGCCCCCACCGTGTAGAAGCTGCTGGCCTCAGCCAGGAGGGCCTGTGCGCCATCCAATGGCCCAGGATGGCCCTGGCGAAGGACAACCTTCAGTGGAGGGCTTGGGGCCCAGCACACCCCATTTCAGGGTCCCCTGAACGTAAACTCTGTAAGCCAAGACGCTGGCGCGCCCGAGAAACCATCCGCCGTGGAGCGAAGCACTCTCCCAAGAATATGCGTTTCCGTGAGCGGAATGTTCAAAGTCCTGGTGAGGACTATTTTCGTCCTCGGGCGGTCCTGGGGGCCTCTTGGGACGTCTTGGGGCGTCGGAACGGTACAGGGAAGCAATTACTGACCCCCCCCCTCCCCCCCAAATTCAACGTTGGCACGCGCGTGGGAGACTGCGGTCGAAGTGCATCTCATCAGACTCACCGCCCACTTTGAACATCGGGGGGATGGGGGAGGCGTCGACCGCTGGATGTGGCATGCGTTCGTTAGTGTGTTCCGAGGCCTGAAGCCCAAGAATATTCGTTTCCCAAGAATATTCGTTCCCGTGAACGGAATGTTCAAAGTCCTGGTGCGTACTATTTTCGTCCCGGGGCGGTCTCTGGGGGCCTCTTGGGACGTCTTGGGGGCGTCGGCAGCTCGAGACGTGGGGAGCCCACCAACACGGCTGAGAGGCCTGAGAGGCAACACACTGCTGCTGGCCCCTCGGGAAGGCTCTCGGGAAGGCTCTTTTGGTGGCCCTCGTGGGGGGGCTCCCTCGGCCGCCTTGGGGGCCACCCTGGGCGGCCTGGGAAGCTCTGGAGGGAGGAGGAGGAGGAGGAGGAGGAGGAGGAGGAGGAGGAGGAGGAGGAGGAGGAGGAGGAGGAGGAGGAGGAGGAGGAGGAGGAGGAGGAGGAGGAGGAGGAGGAGGAGGAGGAGGAGGAGGAGGAGGAGGAGGAGGAGGAGGAGGAGGAGGAGGAAGAGGAGGGGGAGGGGAAAGAGGGGAGGGGGATGGGGAGGGGAGGAGGGGGGAGGAGCTCTGGGGCCGTCTCGGAGGCCCCCTCCGACCCTCCTTGGGACCTGGCTAGAGCAGGCGGCACGCCCGGGGGGGGGGGAAGTGCGCAGGGGCGGGCCTTCTTGGAAGGCTCGGAGGTCCCCCTGGCCTGCCCCGCGGGCCCGCCCTGCGGCGGTCTCTCGCTGCCCCCCCGCCTGTGCCGACCCACGCTGGCCAGCCGTCGCCCCATCGAGCCCCTCGAGAGAGGCCGAGTTCAGACGGAGTCGGCCCCGACGGAGACCGAGTACTCCGCATGAACTTGCCCCGTAGGGCTCAGCCTACTATCATGAGAGGCCGAGTCCAGGCGGGCTATAGGCTCAGACGGAGACCGAGCACGCTGTATGGATTTAACTCCGTGTGGACTCAGCCTCCGATCAGGAGGGGCCAAGTCCAGACGGGATACGCCCAGGCGGAAACCGAGTACGCCGCATGGGCTCGGCCTCCTATCGGGAGAGGCTGAGTCTAGACGGAGTCGGCCCAGACGGAGACCGAACACTCCGTATGACGGCGGGGACGCAGCAACGATGACTAGAGAGGGCCAAGAAGCCGCAGAGGAGAAACACAAAGCGGCGTATCGAGCCCTTGCCCCCAAACAGCCACCGGGAGGACCTTAGGAAGGTCCAGGAGGCTTCACACATGCTCCTCAGACGCCCCCGAGACCCCTCTGACGAGACCTCAAGAGGCATCCCTGAGAACCTTGACCCAAAGCCAAAGCACGGTGGCGGGAAGACCCAGAGGCCACACCACCACCACCACCACCACAAACCACAAACCACCACCACAACCACCATCAGAACCACCACCACAACCACCACAACCCACCACCACCACAACCACCACATCACCACAAACCACTACACAACACCCCCACCACCACCAAAAACGCCACCACCACCACAAACCACCACAACCCACCACAACCATCTCCACAACCACCGCCACCACATCACCACCACCGCCACCACCACCACCACCAAAACCCACCAGCACCACCACAAACTACCACACCACCACAACACCCACCAACACCACCACCCACCACCCACCACCCACCACCCACCACCCACCACCCACCACCCACCACCACCACCAGCAACAGCACCACCACCACCAACACCAAAGCCCACCACCACCACCACAAATCACCACACAACCACCACCACCACAGCCAGCAGCACCACCACCACCACAACCACAACAACCCACCACCACAACAACCACCACTACCACCACCACCACACTCTACCACACCACCACCACCACAACGACCGCCACAACCACCGCCACCACCACCACCAGCACAACCCACCACCACCACCACAAACCACAGGACCACCACCACCACCACAAACCACCACACAACCACCACCACCACCACTGCAAACCACCACACAAGCACCACCACCACCACCACCACCACCGCCACAACCACCACCTTACCACCAGAACAACCAACTTCCGCCACCACCACCACCAAAGCCACCACCTCATCCCACCACCACTACCACCACAAATCAACACACAACCACCACCACCACAGCCAGCACCACAACCACCACAACCACAACAAGGCACCATCACCACAACAACCACCACCAGTACCACCATCCCCACAATCTACCACACCACCACCACCACGACCGCCACAACCACCACCACAACCACCAGCAGCACAGCCATCACCACCACCACCACCACCACCGTAAACCACAACACCACCACCACCACCACCACAAACCACCACACAACCACCACCATCGCCACCACCAGCACATCCTCCGCAACCCACCACCACCACCGCCACCACCACCACCACCACCCACCGCCACAACCACCACCACCACCACCACAAACCGCCACACTTCCACCACCACCACCACCACCACCCACCACCACAACCACTACCACAACAAACTACCATACAACTACCACCACCACCACAACAACCATCACCACCATCACCACCACAACTCACCACCACCACAACCAGTACCACCACCACAACCACCACGACAAACCACCACACCACCACCGCCACCACCGCCACCACCACAATAACCACCACCACCACCAACCACCACATCACCACCACCACCACCACAACCACCACCACCACCACAACCCACCACACCCACCGCCTCAGAGAGGCCCCCAGAGACACCCAAGAGGCGCCCAGGAGGAACCCAGGAGGCATCCATTTGGACTCTGACCCAAAATCAAGGCATGGTGGCGGTGCGTCGTCATCGTCGTCATCGTCGTCGCCGTCGTCCTCTTCGACGTTCCCCGCCGCCGCCGCCGCCAGCCGCCGCAGGCGCCGGCCCAGACAAGGAAAACATCGTCTTCATCGACGCTCCCCGCCGCCGCAGCCAGCCGCCGCCGACGCCGGCGCCGGCCCGAGGAGGGGGAGAGAGGAGGGAAGGGGAGGGGGGGTTCTAACCCCCCCCCTCCGTCACGGGAGAGGGGGGGGGGTCGAACTCCCCCCCTTCAATCCAGGGGGGGGGGGGCCGGTTCCAAACACCCCCCCCCCCTTCCTTTCAAATCGTGCAATCGTTTCCTTCCGCGTCCGGTATCGGACTGGGCTTCGTGCACGCGTGGGGCTTCGCCTAGCCTTGCCTTGCTCGTCCGGGAGAGCGGCCTGGTCGAGCATGGTGAGAGTGCTGGAGCGCCGAAGCTCAGACGATGCAGCAAACACTTTACTACTGCAGCGGCACGTGTCGCTGCTGCTTCGGGACAAGAAATGATGCCTCACGCGACTTATGTATCGTCTGTGCCACAGATCACGTCGCCGCCGTAGGCAGCCGCACCAACAGACATATGCATCCCTGCTTGGCCACCTCTCCGCCACCTCCCATTGTTCCCTCTAGAGTCCACTCGGAGGTCCTGGAAGAGGCGAGGGCAACTTGAACGTCCATCAGGAGGGGCAACAGACAGCAGGAAGCGAGCGACGAGGGAGGGGAACGAGATGCAGGACGCCAGGGAGGATACACCGAGACGTAGGGGGGCGACAGTGGGGGAGCGGGAAGGAGACGACTAGATCTGGAGGCACGCGGGGTGCCCCCGAGGAGGAGGCGAGTCCGCAATGCCCCCACGCTCGTCCCTCTCCTCGTGGAGCGGACGCTTCCCTCCTCCTTCCCCGCCTCCTCCTCCTCCTCCTCCTCGTCATCACCCTCCTCCTCCTCCTCCGCCTCCTCCTCCTCCTCTCCTCTTCCTCCTTCCTCCCTCCTCCTCCTCCTCCTCCTCCTCCTCCTCCTCCTCCTCCTCCTCCTCCTCCTCCTCCTCCTCCTCCCTCCTCCTCCCCATATACCTCCGACGTCCTGATGTCACTGCGTGGATTCCACAAGCTCTGGAGCCCAGCACTCGCGCGGGCTCCGCGCTGCGGGCGGACTTCTGCTGGCCCCACTGGGGGCCCGCAGGCGAGCCTCCCGAAGCTGGGGCGTCCTTTCCTTGTTCAGGGGGCTGCATGCGATACCCTCCTCTCCTCCTCCTCCTCCTCCTCCTCCTCCTCCTCTTCCTCCTCCTGCCCCCTTCCTCCTCCTCCTCCTCCTCCTCCTCCTCCTCCTCCTCCTCCTTCTCCTCCTCTTCCTCCTCCCAGCGTTGCGCAAGTTAGGGGGCCACGTGCGAACCCTACCCATGCCCCACACGATTTCTGAGGGGGGGGGATCCACTGCGTTCGGGAGCTCCCGAGCGACGTGAACCCCCCTCTCCCCCTCAGAAATCGTGGGGGGTAGGGGTAGGGTTCGCATGCGGCCCCCTGGAAGCCGGGGGTCTGCTTCGCTCCTCCGTAGGGGAACGAACAATGATGACATAAACATAACAACTCGGAGGGCTGCGCGGACTTCTTGGATCGGTGCTGGGCCCCCATGGCGGCGCCTCCAGCGCCGCCCCTGGCGCGCTCCGCGCGCCAGGGAAGGGGGCCCAGCACCGCTCCGAGAAGTCCGCGCGGACCCCCGAGTTTTCATGTTTGTGTCGGTGTTCGTTTCCCTGTCCATTCCCCTCCCCCCCGTGCGCTCCTTCGTGAACAGCCACTTGTTGTAGATCACGAAGGTCGCGCTGCACACCATCCAGCACAGGACCCAGAGGAACGCCTCCAGCCGCTCGCGGAGCCCGTGGTGCACCGAGGCCTCTGCTGCCAGGAGGGGGGGGGTTGTGGACTGATTGCTGACCCAGAGGGCTAATTGGCAAACGAACCCGAAGCGAAGCGCAACAAGATCGTACTCGGAGCCGAAGCCCCGACTACGACACGGCCCCGCAACGCACCATCAGTGCGCATCCCTCCTGACGACTGGGGAAAACTACTCTGACCTACTTCGGGTCGCGCTGCACCCAACGACGGAAGGCCACCCCGAGCTGGGCATCGAAGCCCCCAGCTCGACATGCACCTCGACCGATACAGGTTTCACACGTCCACCCCCAGGCTCTCATCTCAGCGGTCCGCCCAGAACAGAGAGCCACTGCCAATGGCATTCCCCACGCGCCTTGGTCGGCGGGCAAACAGTGTCAGACGAAGCCAGGACGAGGATAAATCAGGGTGCGGATCGATCGAGAACCTCTGAGATCTGGCGGTTCTGCAGGATGCCTCGGGCGCAACGGCCTTCTCGGAGCGTTCCTGGGCGCTCTGGAACGGATTCATCCTCGCCTTACAGCCACCCTCGAAATCAAACGCAAGTCTTTCATGCTGGCCGACGCGCGAAAGGCGGCCCACGGGGTCAGGTTTTCCTGTCTGCAGTCGTCAATGTCGGCGGCGAGCATTGCAACTTTGGCCGCCACTTCGCGGGAGACACCTGCGTTTGATTTCGAGGGGGGGATGTTGGCTCCGTCCGGCAGTGACAAGCCTTCGTTGAGTAGGGACCGACCGTCCCGGCATTCCGATAGGCCTACCAAGACATGTCCTTCGAGTCCCCAAATGTTCGAGTTTCAAAAACAATTTCCTTATGACATACAGCCGATGGGTTAACACAAAACAGCCCCAGCCAGAAACGTTCTAAGAACATGTCGTGCAAACCACAAGTCGGGGATGGACAGACCTCCCTTTAGTGAAACGTGGTTTAGTGAAAACGACCTGAGGCCCAAACCTGGCGGGCGCACGCCTGGAAAATAACGGCCGAAGGCGCCCTCTCGAGAACCGACAACGGACAAAATTCACTCATCGACGTGTCACTGTTGGGGGGGATTCTGCCCACCCCCGAACAGAAGGCTCTCAGAACATGCTCTGGTGGGCCTACTAAAGTCGGCGGAGGACAAACCTCCCTGTAGTAAACCTCCCTTTAGTGAAAACGGCCTGGGACCGAAACCGACGGCCCTGGACCCGCAAAAACGACGGCCGCGACGCCCTCTCGCGAAGCGAAAACGGCCGATCCCTCAATCGACGTGTCAGGGCAGGAGCTCTGTCCACCCCCGGAACACTCTCTGGTGGGCCCACGAAAGGGCGAGCCGGGACGCCTCGCCGCTGATGGACCTGGGGCGCCATCCGCCGCGCACCAGAGGGCGTCCTGGGACGCCCTCGAGGCGCCTGCAGGTAGCCTCGAGGGCGTCTCGGAAGCCCTGGGGGCGCCATGGATGGATCTGCCGGCGCCGAGGGCGTCCTGGGGACGCCCTCGAGGCCGCTTGCAGGAGTAGCCCGGCGGGGGCCCCCAGAGGCGCGCGCCTCTCGCACGGGGCACACCCGGGAGCCGCCAGGCCTGCAGGCGCTGAGAGGGAGGGGGCGGCGGGGGGCCGGCGGGTGCGCGTGCGATTTGTGCACATGGCGGGGCGTGTTGTTGTCTCGCCCCGGCCCCCCCCAACGGGAACGAGGGGTCAAGATGAGGGCCGCCCCCCCCCCCCAACGGGAAACGAGGGGTCATGATGAGGGTGGAGGGAGGGACGGGACAGGGAGGGGGAGGGAGGCAGGACTGAGGTCTGGAGGAGGGAAGAAGACGTGGGGGGAGGAGAAAGTGAGGAGGCGCTAGAGGGGGGGGGGGGGGGGGGGGCAGAAACGGGAAGAATGACAGGGGACGGAGGCTGCATAGTCCTCGATGGTCCTCGCCGAGGACAGAAAGGCACGTGCCTCAGCGATGCCAAGGCAAAGGGTTGGCGAGAGGGGGGAAGGCTTCTCTTAGAAGGAGGCTGCTTCTTAACTAGGCGCCGGCCCTGCACCTGCAGACAGGGCCCGCGCCTTCTGAGAAGCACGGGGGGGGGGGCTTCTTTCAAGCCTTCCCTCACTGCCCCACTGCGTGTGGCTTCCTCCTCTCCTCTCTCTCCTTCCTCTTCCTCTTCCCCTCCTCCTCCATACCCCTCGCCGCCTCTCTCCTCCTGTTCCTCCTGGCGGCGGCCCCGCGCTATGCCGCCCCCCATCTTCACGACAGCCAGCGGGCCCAGCGACGGCCCACAGCTGCCTGCGGCTAGGTCCTGGAGCGTCACGGGCCAGCGCCGCCTGTGTACTTTTTTCGGGCGCCAGCGCACCCCCCCCTGGGCCGCGCGCTCCACTACTCGGCAGATCAACTACTCGCAAAATTTGCCTGTATCCGCGCGAGGTTTACTCCAGCTCCCCCCACCTCTTCTAGCTCCTCTCTCTGCCTCCCTCCTCCACCCCCGGTTCCCTTTCCACCTCGCCCTTCCTCCGTCCATCTCCTCATCCTCCTCCTCCTACTCCTACTCCTCTCCTCATCCTCTCCTCTCCTCCGGATTCGGCTCCGCTCAGTGGCTCTGCTCCTTGCTCCTGCTCCTTGTTATGGCTTGTGCTCCTGATCCTGCTCCTGCTCCTCCTCTCCTCCTCTCCTCTCCTCCTCTCCTCTCGTTTCTTCCATCCCCATCTCATCCAGTACTCCGAGGTTTGCCTTCGGGGGAGACTTCAGCCATGACGCGCCTCTCCCCCTGCCTCCCCCCACTCTCTCTCCTCCTCCTCCTCACCTCTCTCACTGTCTCCCTCGTCCGCCCTGCTTCTCGTCCATCACCCCCTGTCCTCATTCCTTAGTCCCACCGGTCCCCCACCCTCGCCCCGCGCCCGAAGCCCCTCCTCGCCCTGCCCGCTCTCGCCCCTACCCCGCCCCTCGCCCCTCCCCCTGCCCCCTCGCCCGCCACCCTCCTCCTCCCCGTCCCTCTCCCGCCCGCGCCTCGGGCGTGCCGGCGAGCTGCTTCCCGCTGTCCGCCTCGCCGCCCTCCGCCGGCGCGGGCGGGGCGCCGCCGTGCCTCAGGTAGTCGCGCATGTGGTTGACCAGCGTGTGCAGCACCTGCCCGGGCGGGCGCGGAAAGGGGGGTGCCGCGGGGCCGGCCCCAGGGCACACACATCAATACACACACACAGTAAAAATGATTCCCCATCTTTTCCCATATGCTCTTGGTTTCTGCCTTCCCCCCCACTTGCCATAGTTTCCCTTATTTTTCTGGGGGATCGACGATGACTTGTGTCTGTGTGCTTTTTCCCCTCCTGATTCCAGGGGGCGGGCTCCCGCCTCGCCTCCGCGCGGGTGCGCCCCCTCCGCCTGGGCCCGACGGCGCTTCCTTCTCCACCGCGGTGCGCCGCGCGCGCCCGCGCGCGGGCCCGCGCGCGCGCTCTCGGCCGGGGAGGCCCCTGCCTCGTATCGAGAACTGGGGGGGGGAAGGGTGCCAGCAGATCCGTCGCTTGATAGACGAGGGTAGCGGGGACCTGATCGCATATGCTCTCCTCCTCCTCCTCCTCCTCCTACAACAACAACAACAACGTTTTGGTCAGAGCACCTGCTGTCCTGATCTCGTCCTGGCTCCTAAAGCACCTTCCGCCCTCTTCCCTCCCCACTCTCGGAGTGTCGCCATGTCGCGCCATCCCTGTAGGGTTTGCCCGACGTGTGCCTGTCGCCACGCTGCTGCGCCACCTTGGGGTCCAGCGGATGGGCGCGCGCCACCCCGCCCCCGCCCTCGGGGGCGCGCAAACATGGATTAGCGATCCATGGGTTTGGCGCGCGGTCGCCAAATCCGTGGATCGGGGGAAGTGACCTCCCCAAAATGCGGCCGGTACCGCCTCGCTCGGCGGCGGAAATCTGCGATTTCCCATGGAAACGGGACCCGTCGCTAATTCACGCCCCCTTGATCCGTGTTTGCGATCGCCTGACACTCCCCACACCACCCCGGAGGGCTCCGCGGAGGCCCTCCGAGTGGTGGCCCCCAGGGCGTCTCAAGGAGATGCTTCCGATGAGGCCCTGGAGATCGTGCCCCCGCCCCCGAGGAAGCCATGGCGGCAGCTATTATACGCGCCGGGGCACTGCTCCGCCCGACACCCTTCGGCAAGGTGACGCGCACCTGCGACCAGGGCCGCGGAAGCAGCCGAGGAGCAGGCAACGAGCAAGGATTCAGAAGGCAGCGGGTGCAGTAGGGGCCCGACCACAAGAAACCTTCCACAAGAAACCCAACCCAGAGACCCCAGGGCGTCCATTGATTTTTGGCGCGGCAACGTCACGCTTTCCATAGCAACGCCATCGAAACCCAAGAAACCCAGGGCACCCTGGAGGCGAACAGGGTGTATCTTGGCATGTGTCTCCACTGTAGCGAGTGAGCGCGCCCATCCCCGCAGACCTGCGGGCGTCGTGGAAGCAGCAGGGCGCCCACGCGTCCTCCGAAAAAGAGCGGCCCGAGGAGGGCCCCGACCACGCTTGGCGGTCGTTCTCTGCCCTCGCCGCGGAGGCCACGACGAAGGACGGCGAGGAGGACGAGGACGAGGACGAGGACGAGGACGACGAGGAGAACGAGGACGAGCACGAGCACGAGGACGACGACCCGAGCATGCGACGCTTGGAGGCCTGGAAATTGGCACCAACACCAACACAGAGGGTTGCCTCCACAGCGGGAAGATGGTTCTAGATTTCGGTGTTGGTGGTGATATTTCGGCCACCTTGGAAGCCAGAATATTACCACCATCACCGAGACCAGGATCTTCTTCCCTCTCCGCTGATATTGGTGTTGGTGTCAACCTCCAGGCCTGCGAGACGCCTTGATCTTGTCGATGCGGGGCCCCGCAGGCCCCGACCCCGCCCGCGGGGCCCGCCCCCTGCGGAGGGGCGCCGTGCCGCGGGGTGGCGCCTCGGGGCCCGGCGGGAGGGACGCCTCTGGTGCACGCCGCGCCCCCCGGCCGCGCCGCGCGTGCACGGGAGAAAAACGGGCGGCACGCACTGGAGAAGCAGGCGAGGCTCACTGCCTTACCAGCCTGGAACATATCCCTATCCCTATGCTGGGCACCTCCTCATCACGATGCCAATCTTAGGGATTCCCTCGTTTGAGGGCGAATCCCTAAGATTGTCATCGCCTTTTGGCGTGTCAATCTCAGGGATATTATGGATACGTTCGAGGCTGGTAACTACCTGTGCGGCGGCAGACCGCGCGGCGACCCAGAGAAAGAGCCCGAGAGGCACCACTGCGCGGTGCCGGGGACCCGGAGGCCCGAGTCGCCCGAGGCGTCCTCGGAGAGCAGCCCGAGCCCCGAGGCCGTGCGGCCGTCCCGGGCCCCCGCTGACTCACCACAGGGTGTGGTCACCGCACCGTCTTGCAGCCCCTGGCTCGCGGGAGGGACTCCGGAGGGACCCCGACCCGAGGCACCTGCAGTGAGGGAACCACTGCGCAGACTGCAGCGTCCCTCTGGGCAGGCCAGGCTATGAAGAACGCGAGCCCAAGGCTCAGCAATGGGGGCATCATGGCAATGCTCGCTTCGAGCCGAAGCCATACCCAGTGACGGGGTGGCACCTCAGGGGTTGGCAGTGACAAGCACGTGGGCCACGCGCCGCGGCCGGACACTGAACGCTGAGGCAGGCCCGAGAACCAGCGCCGGGCCGTGCCTGAACGTCGGCTCCGAGCTGCGCGTGCACCATTGAAGGGGCCCCAGGACATACAAATAAATGCACACAAATAAAAATATTCCCAATCTTTTCCTATATTTTCTTGGCTTCTGTCTTCCCCACCACTTCCCATATTTTCCCATATCTTCTGGGGAATCGAAGATTGATTGTGTCTGTGTGTTTCTTTTCCTCCTGAACCATGCAGGGCCGCGTTGTGTCCGAGGAGGGGCCGGTCGGGGCGAGACCCAGCCTTGGCTCGCGGAACCGCGGCGTCTTCAGCGGCATCGGTCATTGACTCGTGGGCGGCCAGGACAGGGGGGCCAAGAGGGGAGTGCGCAAATCGTGCCCCGAGGCACGTGCGCGGCCTGGGGGGCGGGCCGAGGGCCGCATGGAAAGAAGAGGAGGGGCCATGACATCCGGGGAGATATGATGGCGTCGTCCACGATACCCCACCCCCTAAAGAAGGAGGAGGGGAGGAGGAGGGGGAGGAGGAGGAGGCGGCGGAGGAGGAGGAGGCGGAGGAGGAGGCGGAGGAGGAGGAGGTGGTGAGGAGGGAGGAGGGGGATGTGGGAGGAGGTAGGAGGAGGAGGAGGAGGGAGGAGGAGGAGGAGGCTTTTGGTGCCGCGGAGCGATGTGCGCTCGAGGATTGCCATCCGCAGAGGCCGCCTGTGGCCGTATGCCCTGCCCCCCGCTGCCGGTGGTCCGGCGCGCCGCGCGAGAGTGGCCCATCTCTCTCTCGCTCTCTCCTCCTCCGCTCCTCCTCTCTTCCTCCCCTCTACTCCTCATCCCTTACCCCTGAGCTCGCGCTGCCTTGGTTGGAATCTCCCACCAAATGCACTGCGACGTGTTGTCTGAAGCCCCAGCCCCCCCCCCCCTGCCATGCAAGCGATCGTGCCCCGCGCCTGCTGCTCCCGCAGAGCGCGGGTGCCCTCGCTGCCTTCTGGGGCTGTCGGTCGCGCGCTGCCAGCTCTGATCGCCAGGTCTGCGACACCTGGTCGCAAGCTTCTACAGATGTTCATCGTTGCTGGAACTCGTGCTGCGAAATTTTCGGCCCAACCAAATCGTTCGACATGTCTCGCCCCCAATCTGATTGGCAACATGACAGAAGAGCCCATATTGGTGAGACTGAACGTAGCAAGACCCGACTCCCCGAGAACCCGCGGCGTGGCGCGACCCTGGCCATCCCGAAATGTCCCAGAGGGGGGAAGACCCGAAAGCAGCGATAGGTTCCCTCCCCCTGTGGCACCACAACGACGAAGAATCCAGCGAGAATGATGTACGGGAACATGTCCTTACCATTGCCTGGCTGGGCAGTAGAAGGCACCAAACAACAACTCCAGAAGCGTGCTCTGCTCAAAGCCGTAGTTCAATTATCATGTCCTCCCTCCGTTCTCCTCCGAAACCTTCTCCTCTCCCTCCCTATGTGCACCTGTTTGTTCGTGTTCGGGACCTGTTGTTTGTCAACTGTCTTTTCGTGCCGTCTGACTTTTCGACTGTATGTTCGGCCCCGGTTATGTTCCAGCTGTCTGTTCGGCCCCCGTGGTTTTCCAACTGTGTGGCCGTTGCGATTTACCGAGCTGCCAACGGGGTCGCCGTCTGCCAAGCCCCGAGGCCTCCCCCACAAGATCTCCAGCTGTCTGTTCGGGCGTCTGGGCTCCCAGCTGTCTGCTCGTGCCCTGTGCTTCGCTGCGCTCCACGCTGCGCCCACCACGCGTCGCTCGTCGCGCGTCGCTGTCGCGGGCATCCTCCGCGCTCCGTGCCCTGTGGTTTTCCAAGCCTCTTCTCGGGGGCCTGGCTCTCCATTTGGACGACCGAAATGGGTACAGAAAAAGTGGGTACAATGCCCAACAACAAATGTTGTCCCAAACCGACAGCGGCCGCTGTTGGGCGGGCGGCCTTCTGTCTCACATGGACACCGGCCGCGGCGGCGCGGACAGCGAGTCTTGTTCAAAACGAACAGGAACTGCCGTTGGGCATCGTACCCGCTCTTTCCGTGCCCCTTTCGTTCGTGCCGACTCCCGCTGCTGGCTCGTGCCCGTGTTCCTCCAGCCGTCTGCTCGGTCCCTGAGGCTCTCAGGCCGTCTGCTCGGGACCCCCCTGGTCCTCCTCCTCCAGCTGTCCGTTCACGCTGTCTGGGGCTTGTCCGGCCGTCTGCTCGGGCAGATCTGCTCAGAAGCCAAAACATCCACCCCCAGAATAACCACCCCGACACGCGAAGTCGTCTAGTAAACGCGCCCAGAAAATGAATCGAATAGGGCAGGGCTGTTTAGTAAATGCCCAGGGCCGTTTAAAAAAACACGCCAATTGTCCGGTCCGGGTGGTTTTGCCTCCCCTGACTGATTTCCAGCTGTTCCGGCCCTAATTTGCATGCAGCGTGTCCCCTGTTGCCCTTCCGCCGGAGCAGGGCCGCCGACGCACAAAGTCTGCTCGGGCCTTCTCTTTTCTCTCCGGCTGTCTCTGCAGGGGGCCTGCGGCTCTCCGGCTGCGAGCTCGAGGTGGCCGCTCGCCCGCATCGGACGGCGGCCACCGCTGCATCCCTGGACGATCGCAGCTCACTCCAGCCCAGCTGCCAATGCACCAGACCACGCCTGCACGCCTAACATCTGCTGCCTGGGGCGTATCGGCAAGCCCTCCCCTGAGATAGCGCCCCCCCTCGGATGTAGGGCACGGGTGCAGTCTGCTTTACCACCACTGACACACATGTGTCACATGAATCATGCGTTGCACTGTCTGTCGTGTTTCGAACATATAACGGGCCATTCCTGGCATGACCAATGGGGCATAGACTTCTAATCGACCACTTCTTGCTGTTTCGATCAAGCTGAACTGGGCCTGGTGCTGCTTTCTCAACCCGGCTTCGACATTTCTAGCTCTCTGTGTCCAGTTGGCCCGACAAGAATGGGGTCCTTCCTTGCGCTGTCAATCGGGCTGAACTTGTAAAGGGTCGTAGCTCAACCTTCAAAACTGAGCGCATGATTAATACGCATTGCGTTTCAACTTATAATGTCCCATCATCCTTCCGTGTCCAACCGGGCTGGACACATCTTCGTGTGCGTTTTGAGATGGCAGTTCGCTTCTAGGGTTGTTATGCATTGCATATCAGATTACAACTTTCAGATCGAGCCCTGTAGTTTCCAGCCGTCTGCTCGGACCCTCTGGTTTCCAGCTGTCTGCCAAGGCCGTCTGGATTCCAACTGTCTGCTCGGGCCGCTTAGTTTGATAGCTGTCTGGTCGGGCCCTGTGGGTTCTCAGCTGTCGTTTCCGGCCCTGTGCCCTTCGAGCTATACGCGCGAGACTGTCCACGACCCGCATAAGAGGAAGCACCAAAGGTAGCGACCTCAGCTCTGGAGGCACTATTTCTGGACGACCGCAGCTCCATGCAACCAAGCTGCTAAACCGCCAAGCCACGCCTGCAACGCTGTATGCCGTGTGCTGCCGGGAGGTCTCGGCAAGCCCTCCCTTGCGGCGGGGCAGCTCCCCCCTCATCCTCCTCCTCTTCCTCCTCCTCCTCCTCCGCCTCCTCCGCTCCCCCCCAAGATGATCTAGGTCAGTCCAAATGCGCGGCCTTCTGGATCGGCCGGCTTCCTCCGCCCCGCCAGCAAGATCAAAGCCTGCTGGTGAGCTTCAAGCCCAGGGCTTGCTCGAGGCATGGCTGACATCTCATCGCGGGGCCTCTGGGGGAGCATCCTTCCCATTGACCAGCACCACCACGGCCGCAGGCATGCTTGGCATTGGCGTCTGTGTGATGTCACCCTCCTTCTTGATGAACTGACCCCAGCTGGTGAGCACCAGGTGTTGGTCATGCCGCTGACTGTCATGAGGTGTGCGGGACTCTGTCTCTGTCTCTTGCAAGCTGCCGCTGTCTTCGATGCATCCCTAATGGTCGCACTACCCCTACAGATGGGTTTAGACATTCAACCTTTATGCCTATGGCGTGGTCTTCATCCTCCTCCCACAACCACCACATATTCCTCCTCCTCTTACTCCTTCTCTGTCTCTGCCTCTCTCTCTCTGTCTCTCTTCCTGTTCTCCATGATATCCATTACTTGTTTCTCTCTCTCTCTCTCTCGCACTTCTCCCTTATCTCTTCTCTACTCTCTCTCTCTCGCTCTCAGTCATTTTTTTGTTTTGCTCGTCTCTCTCTCTCTATCACCTGTCTCTCAATAACACATGTTGACAGCGCAGGTCCGTTCATCTCCGCTAGCCTGACGCTGGCATCCATATCCAATAGCCTGACACTTGTCAAGAAGCCTTCGCGACAACAGATGCAGCAATTCAAGCCCGACGTCACCAGTCTGGTCAATGTCCCTCATCCTGGCGAGGCACGGCTGGCTCCAGAGGCAAGCAAGGAAGGCGCTGGCGGATCAATCGACGAGAGAAGCCCAACAGTCCCGAGCCTACAAAAAGTCGGCATTCGACTGTTCGACCGCGTCGCTCGCGCCAACTTGTCGTGAGAAGGCTTGTAGCACGGCCTATGCCCCCGCCATATGGTAGTTTTCCCATGAAGACTGGGAATAAGGACTAGGGACTCGCGCGAGGAGGGTAATATTGGTTACTGAACTCGGCCAGGGTTAGCCTCCCGTTGGACCCGATTGGTTTGAGCCTCATGGAATTATCGGGGGCGCGCAAACATGGAGTAGCGATCCATGGGTTTGGCGCGCGGTCGCCGAATCCATGGGTTGGGAGAGGTGCCCTCCCCAAAACGCGGCCGGTGCCGCCTCGTTCGGCGGCGGAAATCCGCGATTTCCCATGGAAAAGGGACCCGTCGCTAATCCACGCCCCCTTGATCCATGTTTGCGATCGCCTGAAATTAGATCTTACCTGCTTCGTAGCACTTGCAATGACATCACGATTGCGGTCACTGGAAAGCAGCACGGCTCGACCTAAGCAACGTTGTCAATCTTCGTTGTGGGTTCGTTTTCCCTCGTGCTGCCTTCGTTCCGCCTCTGCGCCCAAACGAAATCAAAACGAAAACGGTCTACGAGATCGCGAAAGCACCGTTTAGGTCGAGCCCTGGAAAACAGCTCGCTGGACTTGGCGAAATCGGTCCCAGAGATAGACATCAGAACATGGAGGACGGTCAGTTTGTCCACCAGTCCTCACGCATACCAGATGTCGAGAGCATCGTTTTTGTCAGCCCCTCCACGAATTTCCCTCCGAGATATCCCCCACCCCTCTGCACGTGCATAAGTGTTGCCACCTCTTCGGTTCAACTTCTCAGACGGGACGGGTGAGAGGACAATGATCCCCGTCAATTTGGAACATGGTGCCATTAGACGCAGACTGCTGGCGAGGGGGAGGAGGGCGGTAATGGGAGCCTCTTGCTATACTGGACCCTGGATGGGGAATGACGCACACTGCGTTCTCCAGCTGCCTCCCCCACCCGCTGGCATATATGTTCAAACGTATATCATGTGCTCCGATCCTCATCACCCTGTTCTCCTCCGTGTGTGACCTTCCCCACTGTACTCCTCTCCTGCCCACCCC